AGCCCACAGGGCTCTGTCTGAGCGCACAAAAGCTGCACACAAAGCAAATCTGATTCATGCTGGATGCATACAGACACGCACAGGCAACCCAGTGAAAAGCCTTCTCTACATTGTTTCCAAACAATCCCAATCCAGCTCACACGTCAGCCGGGGCACCAGACACTTGGTACTTACAAGGGGGTTTGCTGTGTCCGTCTGCTGCCGGAGCCAGGACGGGGTGGATGCAGCTCGGAGGGAAGGTGCATGGAGATGTGCAGAGAGGCTCTCCTGCAGCGGGGCGAGAGGGATGGGAAGAAGGGCCCCAGCCCCTCTTTGGGCCCCAGAGCAGCAACACTTGTTCACGGGATGGAGCGCAAAAAGGCTGGCATTCCTACAGCAGCAAGGACAATGGGGAGGGATGAGGAGGCACTGCCATAATCAAATGCAGGCCAGCTGGCCCTCCCCCAGGAAGGGCAGGCACCTCCTTCACTTGCCAAGGGCTTTGTTTTCTAAGCCACAAAGAACAAAGTGACTGAGGAGGAGAGCCAGAGGAGGAGGAGAGCAGAGGAGAACCCGCTGTGGGGGCAGAACCACACGTGAGCACAGGTAACCCACTCCCAGAGAGATGAAAACACAGAAGGGAGAGGTCGGGTAACACTCTGCCCACTCCAAGCAGAGCTCAGAAGTAGCAGCTTCTTGTGTGCAGCAGAGAAAAGCCAAAGATGACCGAGGAACAAGAATCAGCACAGGCTGATGGTCAGGGGTCCTTTGGGGGAAGAGATCCAAGGGTGTCAGGCAGACAGAGAATACCACTGAAGGAATGGCTTGTGGAACAGAGCCCAAAGAAATCCCACTATGGGCCACCCTACCACTTCTGAACCAGCCTCACTCCACCAATCCTGAGCAGTGGGACTCTGAACAGCTTCACTCAGAAAGCAAATACAAATCAAGGGCTCAAGCTGCAAGAGGCTCCCAGGCTATGGCAGGGCAATGACCACACGTCCCCTGAGCACCAACGAAGCACCATCTTGCACAACATCCTGACAAGCAGGAAAAAGCCCCTGGAGCTGCCTCGGGCCCTCCTGTAATGATACAGGCAGTTCAGCTCTGGGCACCACATCACCACAGGGTATGCAGGTGCTGAGCCAGTGTGATGGGACGCTGCCCTTTCTGGTTGGGTCAGTGCTTTCTTCCAGAGTGATTTCTGCCAGCAAGGATCGTGCACCTTTGCTCCCAACCTTCAGCAGGACTGGTTGTCATCCCAGGGCTGGCAGAGCCCATGCTCTGTGCTCTGGCTCACTGGACAGTGCAAGTAAGGTGCTGCAGTCCCAACAGGGCACACGGCTCCCACACGGGCCATTTCAAACCTGCCGTCCAGGTAACCTGCACTTTGCTCATGGTAAAGGCAGGAGTGTGGGATATAGGAGTGATCTGAGAAATAATTTCACCCAAAGAAAGCTTGAGAAAGGAAAAAATGTGAAGATTAATGAGACAGCAAGGAGGGGGAAACCTGCTGTGGCTGCTCCTGGTCTTGATGGTGTACCTATGGCAGTGTTACTGTGAAGCCAGGATAGACAGCGGGAGAGAAGGGTACTGGGGACTGTCCTTGCAGGCACCCCAGAACAAAACAGACATCAGTGCTTTTGGTACATCATACACACCCTTGCTTGCTCAGCTTCCCAGTTCTCCCCCAAAGCACTGAGTGGTGCCAGATCCCAGTGCAGTCTTGGAATTGAGTAAACAAGGGACAGCAGCCAGACCAGGCTCGAAGCCACAGGAAGATGGCAGGTCCCCGAATATGCCCACACTGAGTTTGTGGTACTGAGAAACAATCCTCCAGCCCACAGTCAGAGGTGGGGAAGGCAGCTTCCTTCTCTGCTCCTCCTGCCTCAGCCCAGCCATCATCCAGCCCCTGTCAGGCACCAAGGAGCTCCTGCCGCAAAGGAAGCGAGGACAAATGGAAACATCCAGCTTGGCACCAGCCATGGCTCTGGGGAGGGAACCCTGCCAGCCCATGTGTAAGCTCCATGTGGTCTGGCCCAGCTCAGCCTGCCGACTCGCAGGGAGCTCTGACAGGCCTTCAGGAACTGCCAAGCAGTGAAAAAACACAGTACAGCATCTTGACAGGCCATATGGGGTTGTGTTGTCCTGTCCCATGGTCTGTCCTGCAGCCACAGGCAGCGTCCTACAAAACACTCGCCCACCACACGCAGAAGGACCAGCACAACAGAGCCTCCCATTCCCAGGAGGCAGTGAGGTACGTGAGGGATGAATGCCACGATCCCCGTGGTGGGAGCTCCACTCCCTTGGTGCATGCTGAGATGTTTGGAGAGCTGAGCCTGCCAGCTCATTACCATAGTGTACATTGCTTATGCATCCTCAGGCTTCTTCCCCAAATCCTGGGGTTTGGCACACTGCAGGCTCCTTACAAGAAGGAAAATCGAGGACATTGCTTATTGTAGACTCCTGCTGTTGAAATCCCCTCAGATATTAGGGAAGAGAGAAAGGAGCTAGGCACGCACCGACAAGATCGCTGCAGGAAGGTCAAAGCAGCTCAGCATCGGGAGAGAGTGAAATCAGTTCAGATAAAATCTGCTCACCCCCCACCTCCCAGACCACGCCACTGACTCTGCTTTGGGAAGGCAGAAAGCGTTCTGGAGATCAAAATCATACTGAAAGAACTTTCATACTGCACAGCAATTCCTGCCCTGGTCCTACAGCTGCAGGATGTATCCCCCCGCACTCCTGGTTTCGGTTGGCCACTGGTTCACAATACACACACGGTATATTTATACCACCAGCATGTTTATAGTTCTACTGAAACCAGTGAGATCAAAATCCTCCTTCCTCCCTAAGCCAGGTGCTCTTCCTCCACACCAAAGCAGTGTGCAAACACACCATGCCACCACCATTCCGTTTTCACTGGGGCAGTGCAGCATGAAAGGCACAACCAAGAGGGATGCTGCTGCTGCCAAGCACTGCATCCCAGTTTTTATCCACCAAAAAGAAGCTGTCATGCTCTCAGAAAAGAAATGGGCCACTGCTGGGCTCTGTGTAGCATTTGTGCCCCTAGGAATGGCCCAGGCTTTTTGAAAAAGGCTTTGAAGCTGTAGAGGAACACACTGCTGCTGAGGCATGTCCCACTACCCTGGCAGCCCAAGAGCTGCCACCCTGATGTAGATACCATGCCTGAACAGTGCATGGAGCAGCCTGGAGAAGAGAAGGCTCCTGAGAGACCTTAGAGCACCTTCCAGCACCTGAAGGGGCTACAAGAGAGTTGGAGAGGAACTTCTGATAAAGGCACGGAGTGACAGGGGAAGGGGAATGACTTCAAACTGCCAGAGGGCAGGGTTAGGTGGATATTAGGAAGAAATTCTTCCCTGTGAGGGTGGGGAGGCCCTGGCACAGGTTGCCCTGAGAAGCTGTGGCTGCCCCATCCCTGGAAGAGTTCAAGGCCAGGTTGGATGAGGCCCTGAGCAACCTGGTCTAGTGGGTGGCATCTCTGTAATGGCAGGGGAGTTAGAACCAGATGATTCCTTTAAGGTCCCTTCCAGCCCAAACCATTCTACGGTTCTATGATCATGTGCTACAGTCCACACATGTGCTCCAGAGACTTCCAGCTTTGGCTGGGTGGGTTCTTACAGGACCAATGTTTGGATTGACCACAGAATTGCCAATATGCCAAGCAAGGCTTGTTGCTTTGTGTGTCTCAGCTTATCAGAAGAAACATGATAAACCCCACCCTTCTCGGGATCCTTCCCAGGATCTCCTGTGATGGCAAGGTGTGTCCAGGGACCAGAGCAGCCCCTGAATGCCTGTGTTCAGTGAGGAAGCAGAGCACAGGTTCTTGCCATTCTCCTATGGCACAGGAAGCACCTTTCTCTCCACTTAGGGGGAAAAAAATTACACACTCCCACGGCAAGACAGCCCCCACCTGCACAACAAACTGCAGAGATGAGCCAGAGCAGACCTGCAGAGCATCACCAAACAAACTCAATCCTCACATGCCCTGACAGCAATGTTCCAGGCTGCCTTCACCACTTTCCTGCCTCACACAGGATGCTTCTCCATGTTTTCATGTTTAGCTGAATTTCCTCCCCCCTCCCCTGAGCACTTCTGGCTGCCAAGGCAGCTCAGAGACAGCAACTAAGTGGCACCTACATCTGGTACAGCTTAACTTTTAGTGTCTATTCTTTCTGGAATTTGAGAACTTCAATACCCAATGTTTGTACAAGTGTGGAATAAATGAAGCACAGGCTCCTTGGCCTTCTGTGCTTGCCAAAGCTGTATTTTAAAATGCACTTAGAAAATCCTACTGCTTATTCATCTGCAACTTCAGAAATTAAAGAACATCAAACCCAACTGCAGGTCTGCTGAAGGTTTGCACTAAACCAAGCTGGTGAGGTCAGGCACTCAGTCACCACACGCATTCTCTCCTCCTGCTTCCCAGATGCCTGGGACAACCCAGTCCCCTTGTCCCCTCAGCCACACTTCCCAGCACCCCATTCTGGGACTCCATCTCCTCAAGCAGGCCCCCACAGGGGAGGAGTTGGGCTGTATTGAGGACTGAAGAGCAGGGTGCTAATCCTGGTGGGCCAACAGGCTGAATTTTCCAGTGTGTAAGGATACAGTACAAACAAAATGCAGGCAGCCCACCCTGGTATGGTGGCCAAGATTGGACGTGACCAACCAGTCTTTTGGCCCTTGCCATCACTGCCATGATCCTTCTGTCCACTGGGGCCATGAAAGGGGTTTAAAAGCTCCAGCTCAGACAGCAGCAAACCTCTGTGTTTAACAGATGTGGACATTTTCTGAAATACACCTCCTCGCCTCCTTCCACACACTGACTTGAAGAAAATCACTGCTGACACATGAGCGTGAGGGAACTTTTGCAGGTTATAGATCCAGCTCCCTATTGGAGCAAACACTCCATTTCACACCCTTCATACAAAACCCAGCTCTGGACTGAGTCCAAGCAGGCTTTTTACACCCTCCCCTGTGCAGCAGATGCCTTGTCTTACCTTGTCAAAGAATTCATACAGCCTGACCGTTTCACAGATTCGGTGCCTGGTTTCATCCAGCTCAGTGCAGAACTCCTCCAGCTGATCTCTGTAGGTCTGCAGCTTTACCCTGTAAGAGTGCACATCCACAGAGGAAAAGTCTTCCCATCGATCCATCTTCTTTAATGCTTCCTGTCCCCTTTTGCAATATTCCTGAAAACAAAATCGGATTGCATATGAGGACTGAGACCCGACATGGACAGCAGGTAGTCTTCAAGGTCATTAACAACTAGGGTTAATTAGATGGGGTTTTAAAGTTCAAATCACATGAGCAGGGGTGTCTTTGTTTACAGTAGAATTCTGGAGCCCTGATCTCTTATGAGTTACACCAGTCACAGAGCAGCTTGTAAAAGCCTACACAGCAAGGGCCACGGGTCAATTAGGATAAAAAGGCCGTGTTACAAGCACATCAAGGGAGTAACCAAAAAATCCATCTTCCATCCCACTAGTTATTTTCCCCAGATTGGCAAATGCCATCTACTAAGGTGTTGAGCTGCTCTTCAAGAGGAGAGCAAGGATGCTGAGTAGTGTGAAGGAATGACACACACCTTGGTGATGAGCCCTCTTAGCATCGTGGGTTTGGCTGAGCACGTACAAGACACACGTTACCAACTCAGACGCTGGAGAATATATTTTTCCAATCAGACAACACTTACACTGGCAACAAGATCAAACTCCTTGAACTGCTTTTGTGCTTGAAGCAGCATCTCCAAAGAATCATCCAGGTTGACAGTTTCCTTTAGCCCTTTTTTGCCAACATTCTCAATCCAACTGCTGACCTAGGAGAAAAGGGATAAGCCCCATTATTAGTCACCCTGTGCTACTCACCAGTGTAGGCCTTTATGTGGAAAGAGCAAGGAACTGCTCTCATAACGCTGGTCATCTCATTACTGGAAAGAATGTGTGTGTAGACTGCTCCCCCCATCCAGGCCTTTCAGTCTGAGCCTCCTGCTAGGAGTTTTTCCACTTCAGGTTACAGAGTAATTGCAAAGCTCTGCTGTTGCTCACTAGCCTCAGGCATAAACAGGGCAAGCAGCTGCTTGGGCTCTGTTTCGGGTGAGCCATGGTCTAATGTGAGCTCTGAACCTGCAGACTGGCCCGACATTCCTATTATTGTTACCCCCAACTGGGATCAAATCTCCCTGCTGCCAGATTTCCTACATCACTTCCTTTCTCTGACTGGCAGCACATGAACCACGTCACTCTGAGGGTACTGATGGATTCTCCCCATCTGCAGCATTCCACAGTTCTCTGGGGCTCTCAGATACTGGTTTTCTGAAGGCAGCTCTCCACAAAACCAAGCAGCAACTGCAGGTTCCTCGACTGGGGGTGGCCACTGCTGCACTTATCAGCCTATATCCTCAAACAGGGGTGGAGGACTGGCTAACGAGACCCTCCTAAAGGCAAAGCAGTCCCAGGAGGCCGGGCAGGATAACACAGCATCTCCATCATCAGTGGGTTTTCAAAACAGGCTGGTAAACTTGTCTGCAATGCTCCAGGCATAGCTGCACCTGGGGGAAGGGACAGACTAAGTGCTTCCTAACGCCCACTAAGTGTTTCCTAACGCCCAAGCATCCTGTTCTCCTGTATCATCTAAATCCAAACCCCAACTCAACCACACAGTCCAGGACAAACTCCTAGTCTTGTACCCACAGAACAAGCCCACTGGGGTGGGTTCTCAGTACTGCAGAGAGACACACTGCTGCTGCCTAGAGCTCCCAGGCAGGCTTAAAAGTGGGAGCAGTTGCTGCCATCATTAGTGATCTCCAAGAAAAGTAAGCTGGGAACAGTCGGTGTTACTCAACTGAATAAAAAAAAAAAAGTTCAACTTAAAGCAGAGACAGGTTGCAGAGCCTGCCTTTGTGCCTTTTTTACATTTCTGCCTGGTATTAGGAACCTATATGTTTCTAAGAGAGTCTCTACCAGGTTCTTGCATCACACTTCTCGTCCTGAGCACACACTGCATGGCGCCCAAGTGTCTACCTCCAAATGGGAAGTCATTAAAACTCCTGGATCCACCTCAGCCTGTGAAAACAACAGGTAGGCTACAGGCTCCTTTGCAAATCCAGTTCCTTCCAGAGGAGAGGAGCCCAGAATCCCAGAAGAGCAATGGTGAAACGGGTCCTAATACTGATTTTTAAGGACACGTGAACCTTCTCAACCTTGATGAGTTGCAGCCCAGGAAATGGTGTGACTCCATAATCTCATGGTTGATTTCAGGCTTAAGGATCTGCAACACTGAAAGACTGATCAGCTCTTGTAGGACACTCAGACCTGGGCTACTCTATGACTTTTTAAGGTTCTCTATCTACATGGTTTCAGAGGTCTTTCTGAAAGCCAGTGCCTGTTTGCTTCAGTTATGCCATGGCTGTAAAGACCTTCAACAAGCACCATGTGAAGGGAAGCTGAAGGTCTCACAGCAGTGCAAGGGGGTCGAGCACAGCTCCTGGGCTAAGGACAAGAGGCCATTCCCTGCCTGGAGGCTGCACCCAAAGGCAAACCAATCTGCCTGTGGCTCCACCCACAGGGGAAGGAGTGTGCCTGGGCTTATCAGGTATCAGGGACCCGAGCACAGCACAGGAATCTAAACAACAGAGTGCACTGCAGGGATGGGCAGCCAGTGTGGGGCACGCTCATTCAGCAAACCCTGCAGGAGATACAGCCCAGAGGGGACACAGGCTTAGCATCAGCTTGTTGTCGTTGCTCTGCTGCTTCTCAAGGTGAAGCATGAAGAATGGCTCACCAACAGTCTTGCTGGCAGGGTCAAAAGACATCCACCAGTATGTGGTGCTTATTTATGAGCCACCTCACAGATGTTTATGGGGTTTGACTGGTCCACACGTAGAGAGAAGCCAGGAGACTTTTACCTGGCATCAGGAGATACCAGGCAAAACAGTGGGTTTGTCCTCAGCATGTCTGAAAACTCCATCCCAAATTCTTATGTTCAGTTGTTCTTTTTAAGCATCTCCAGGCACCACTGTACACCTCCACACAAGGGACCAACAGCTCCAGTTCCTGCTGTGGGACAGTGTCAGAGGGCAGCAGCAGGCAGTCACTGGAACTGACAGGCAGACCTTACCTCCTTAAAACACTCTTCCACTTTCTCAAACTCCATCACCAGCTCCAGTTCCTGGATGCGCTTGTTTGACAACATCACCAGTCGGTGAACGCCCTCATCAACTCGATTATAGAGCACGCTGGCAGCATCCAGGGCATCTCTGCAAGGGGACACAAGTCTGGTCAGGGGTTTTGCATTAGGTCCTTCCCCCAGCACTTCATGCAAACATGATCTGGCTAACAGCAGTGCTGCACTCATCCTCCCTGTGGGACCCACAGTGGCCATCTCCATATGGAGAACAGAGGAGAATATTGCTGCTCCTTGCACATTGCTGTGATTCAACACTCTGATCCCAATGCAGACAACCTGGCAGGAAGGACAAGAGCATCTCCTCCCAGCCAGGTTCCTTGCAAAATTTACTGTACTTGCCACACTTTTCAGCTTTTCATAAACACAGATTATTTGCATCAATGGGCTTTCACAAAACACAGGGTCAGGCAGTCTCAGCGTCTAAAACCACCATTTGAATTTAATTAAAATAAGTAAATAAGCAATCACTAGTAAGCAAATCTTTCCCGAGTGACAACAACAATATAAAGCACCTAATGCCCCACTCACTCTCAGGATTTCCACCAGCCAAACAAAAAGGCGAAGCGTCCAACAGCCCAGCGCCAAGAGAAATGGGATC